ATAAAAAAATCCCACATTAAAGGGTTGACAAGGGTTAGCATGTTATAAAATCAACCAACCTAAACTTGCATGTAAAACCTTTCTAATAATAGAATATGGAATCATTCTTGTGACACTTATAACTGATTGATTGATAGTTCTGTTTATTTTTTATGGCTTATCAACCCATTGTAGGTTATTTAAAGACCAAACCTATTTCAGATTATAAAAATTATTATTGTTTTCCTTTTTTTTTTGCATTAAAAATTTGGCAAATTTAGCTCTTCATGCCTGCCCAAAAATGGAGTGTCAAGAAGACGTTTTTTTCATTGCCACCACCATTATTTTAACTACTTTCATTCTTCAGCAATATTTATTGTTTTAAAAAGCAAGGATTAGAATTGTAATAAAACCTAAACATATATAAATGAATTTATACATTTTCTTTCTCCTTGAGAATGGTTCACAAAACATTGGCTAATTGCCAATTGATTCAAACCTTATAAAACAGTAAATAATAAGGACTTCCTTAGAGTTGATTCACATATTTTAATAATTTAGTAAATGTTTATAAATTTATGAATAAAAGATTGTTTTCATATTTAATTCCTTGTAAATTAGTTTTAATTGTATTAGTTTTTAGAATGTTGTAATTATAAAATTTTTCTTGTAAATACATAATAAATAAATAGTGTTTAATCTTTTTTATGTAAATTCTCAAGAACAAGAAAAATGTATAAATTCACTTTCATTATATGTTTAAATATTATTCCAATTCTAATCATCATTTTTTAAAACAATAAACATTGCTGAGGAATGAAGGTAGTTAAAATAATAGCAGTGTCAAAGGAAAAACTGTCCTTTTAACACAACGTCTTATTTCAGGCACATAGCTCCATGTTTGCCAAATAATATATATATTGCTTACATTATGTTTTGAAGTACAAGATTTATACAGTAGTTAGAGAAAACATGTGGATATGTTCACATAAAAATGCAACAAGCTTTTGGTGAAAATAAGCTCACATAATGATAAATTATAAACACAATCACATTTCAGCAGCTATTTGCCTGTAAAAATATGACAGCTACTATGTCAAGATGACATCCTTTTAAAGAAATACATAGTGACTCTATAGACAACAATGAAAGTGAAGATGACAAAGAAATATATGCTGATAATATAGATCAAGCCATCACGTCATTGTATAGTAACAAATTAAAATGTGTTTAATATCTATGTAGATTGTGGGGTTACTTGCATTATACCAGCAGAAATAGCCTTGTGTTCACAGGAATAAAAACATACACAGAAATAACACTAAAAGCATGTTAAATGGTAAATTAAAATCATACAATTTATTTTGTGTACTGGTATGTATGTATTTCAGTTACAAGTCTTAAGGTTGCATGTGATAAAAGGAAGAAGTCATTTCATATTATAAAAAGCAATTTCCTGAAGAGAGGAACTGGATGTCTTGATATTCCAATGATCAGTGATGAAGAGAGTGAATTCAGTGTCTTTTGGCACAACATCTATTTTCAGGCAGGAAATGTTTCTGTAGCATTCTGGGAGAACTTTTATTTTTATTTTTTGGTTTTATTTATTTTAAACAAAGTTTTAATGTTATTTTATTTTATTTATGATATTCATTTATTATTATTATTTTATATTTTTATTTATTTAATAATAATAATGTCCTTACAAGTTAACATATGAGAAGCTCCCAAGGAGTTACAAGTGGAGCTTATTGAGTCGTATGAAGATAATATCCTGAATGTGCTTAATGTCTATGTAGATAATTCTTTTTTAAAACAAATTGCTAGGTCTACTGCTAGGAAAGTTGGTTTTCTGTGTCATGTTAGACAATTTTTCTCATCCAAATCTATCTTACATATTTACAAGTCTACTATTCATCCATGTTTAGAATATTGCTGTCACATATGGTCTGGTAGTCCTGCTATGTATTTAGAGATCCTTGATAAAATCCAAAGAATAATCTGCAATGTCATTAGTTCTAACCTAAGCTTCAGTCATTTTTTTTACTACTGTAATGTAGGTTACCTGTGTTTTTTGTATAAATACTTTTATGGTAATTGTTCTAATAAACACTCCTCTATGGTACCTATATTTTATGAATTTAAACACAGTACTAGATTGGCAGCAAGATCTCACCATTTTACAGTTGAAATGGTTAGATGTAACTGTAAGTTCTATGCTAACAGTTTCTTCTATTGCACTTCCTGTTTGTGGAACTCTCTTCTAGCTTCTTGTTGTCCAGTAAAGTTTTATCTTCAGAAATTTAAATGCAATGTCAATCATTATCTTCTGTTTTCTTAATTTTTGTTCTTTTATAACTTTAGTAACCCTTTGTCTATTAGTAGTTTTGTTGTCTTGCTTGGGGCAAAATGATTAAAAAAAATGTAGTGTTGGATTAGTGACTTGAATTTTTTGTCTACGGTCCAAACTAACTCATTAATTATTTTGCACTTTAGACATAACTTACTTACTGATTATTGCAATGCACATAGTTTGAAAAAAAAGTTAATATTTAGTTCTTATGTATATGTACTCATAACTTTAGGTTTAAAAATCTAGAAGAAAAAAGTCAAACAATTTTTATTATTTGTGTAATTATTCAGAAACAATTACAGTAATAATTTAAAAATGTTTCTAGACAATATTTATGCAATGGTTTCTTTTATCCATCAATGTTATTATTTATAGAAACACTTATGGGAGAAAATGCAAGTTTAAAGAATTGCTGCAGAATTATTATTTTCTTACTTTTTTTTTGACCATGACAACTGGTAAGTAGTAGTTCCTGAGATTTAACAGAGACTGAAATCAACAAGAGATAGAGATACATCCTTTTACTTCTGTAGTAGTCAAACTGAAAGTGTTATGAAGTGGGTTTTTCTTAATATCTTATCAGTTCAGTAGTAGTCATTTATTATATCACTGTGGTACTGATTTACCTGAGCTTGTAGATAAACTTATTGTGAATCTAAGAAGGTCACATGAATATTTAAAGTTGCACTGCAAATGAAAAATCAAATGATAATGATATTTAATTACAAGAAAAAGGATATGCTTGAAACAACAAATATATTTTTTATATATGCAGAATATTACAATTTTGTTTTGTAAAGATGTGTGCGAAAGCTTGATCAGAGTATTTTAAAGAGAAAAGTTTTTGTTGCTGGTTTGGAAATGTTTCGTATGTTTGTAATTTATTTTGTAAAATTTCATGCATATGTTTTCATAAGCGTCTGACTGCACATGGTCAAGACGTGAATCCTTTTTTACAACTACCTTTTGTAGTGAGAGAAATCAAGGAAGAGAGAGAGAATGAACTCAAGTCTGGTATTTATAATTAATTTAATCATGTGGTAGGCTCCTGGAAAAAGAAGTGGGAAAACTTGACTTGGTTATGTGCTGGAAAAAGACTTGTATGTTGGTGGATTGCAACGCCCATTTGCGTGTTTATTGGCCAAGTAAAAGTTGAGATTTCCTAAAAATCTGTATGAAGCTGAGTAAGCTCTTTGATCCACTTTTTGCATAGATTTGTACAAAATTCAACATTGATAAGAAAGTAGTATCCAGATGCTAAAAACTAAAGTTGACATACAATAGAATTTACCTTAACTTTCCTAGATATAATGCTATACTGAGTTAACTGTTAACTAAAAAATGAAAATGTTCTACCCACTACCTCTATTACAACTACAATTGAAAAGAATTTATGTAAACTCAACATAAAATATGCCACAACTATGTCCAAAGAAATAAAAGACCTAATTAATACAAAAGAAAATAAAAGCCTTGTAATGATCATCATCACACACATACACAAATTCAAATTATACAACAACAAGCATTCATTGGATAATAAATCAACACTACTGTGTAATGGACAATTTATAAATCGCAGCAATGCGACAATTTGATAATCGCTATATTTTCATGTAGTCAATTTTGTGCACTTTTGGGAGAAATGGATCCCAAGAGCCTTCTCAGCTTTGTAAATATTTTCAGGAAATATCAGCTTCTAATTGGTCAATAAGCACACAAATGGGCATTGCAATCCACCAACGCACAATATATTTTTCCAGCGCGTGACCAAGTCAAGTTTCCCGCCAAGTTCTTTTGATCCTGTCACGTGATTACATTATCTATAAATAGCAAACATGAGTTTGCCTCTTTCTCTTTTTTCCTCTCTTCTTGCTGCAAAATGTCGTCCCAGAGAATTATCGTCTTGACCATGTGGTCAGACGTTAAATAATATTTCATGCATTCATGTACATACAAACTCTTACGGACTTTTCCAACTTACATTACAAACATACAGAACATTTCCAAACATGCAACAAGAACTTTATTCTTCTAAAACTACAGTTTAATAATTAATTCAACTTTGTGAGCTCCAATAAAAATATTCCCAGTCTAAGAGACATAACTCCATCAGATCTTTAACTTCTACGAATGTACATCAACACACAAATAAATACAATGTTATGTTTTTAAAACCATTTTCTTCCTTCTTGTATTTCATGCTTTGTGGTATTTTACGTTTAATATAAATTGTGTGGGCATGTTATTCCTGCAGCCATAAACAAACATCCACAATGGTCATTCCTCTTAACATGCCTCTACAGCCTAAAACTTGAAGGAGGAATTTACTCTACCTGTAATAATTGCCACAAGGAATACATTGGAGAAACCTCAAAGAATTTAAGTAAAAAATTACATGACCACAAAAGGAAACTTTTACAAAACAACACATTAAATGCCTTAGTCACTCATTATAATCAGACTGACCACAACTTTTATTTAAAAAATGCTACTCTAATTAAAAGAGAAAACAATTTACTAAGATGAAAATGTCTAAAGAGTACTTTGATCACTAGATCCTCCACAGTAAACTTACATCCAGCTTCTTTCATTTCACCATTCTTGGTAGATCTTTTATTATCACAATGAGGGATAATTAATAACAAAAATGATAGAAGAAACCTACCTTTTTGGATGTTAATGACCCCCCAAAAATCGGACTTTTTCCTGGTCTTTCGTCAGCCATTACCAGCTTATTGATAAGTAATTCAGTGCTGAATTTTTTTTGTGGGCGTATACAATTTGGGCCTATTTACTTCTTTCACAATAATTCCTTGTAGAAATTAGTATGTGCTTCTGTAAAGCGATTTTTTTTTTTTTACTTAATTTAAGAAGAAAGTTAACTTTCAAATATATGTAAACATCGACAAATAAAAGAATAACAAAGTAATTTCTTTTTTTTAAGAAGAAAGTTAACGTTCAAATTAGGTTAGGTGTTTTTTTTTTGGTTATTTTATTTTTTTTTAAGAAAAAAGTTAACTTTCAAATTAGGGTTAGGTGTTTTTTTTCCTTTTTTTGTTATTCTTTTATTTGTTGATGTTTATATTTGAAAGTTAACTTTCTTCTTAATTTAAGTACATAAAAATCGCTTTACGGAAGCGCGTACTAATTTCTGAAAGAAAATAGTTCAGCAGTGAATGACGATCGGGTGTTAAAATGAAAATTTACCGATGAAGTTACGATTTTAATAATTTGAAAGCCTGGTCCTAATCTGAGTAAAAAAAAAAAAATGTTACCAAAATACAAATTGGATAGCGAGATTAATTAGTGTAGATCACTCATAAGTCATAACGAATTGAATTTAAATTTGTGGTTGAAGAGAAAAATAAAAATTTAAAAAATAAAATTTACTACCCAGCGCAGGAAGTGATCTCACAACCTTCAGTCAACCATAGAGAGACTTTATGGAGATGTCACCCCTATTGATTGGAATAAGATCACTCAGTGGAGCTCTAAAAGCCAATGCTTTTTTTTTTTTTTTAATTGACTGTCCTTCCCCAACCCCCTTTTTGGCCTTGTGCCACATTTTGTACAGTAGTATGAATAAATAACTAGTCAGTTTGTTGTCATTGCTTGGAGACCTGATGTTGTCACTCGGCTTTAACCCCCACATAGTATTTTTATCAGTTGCTTGATTATAGAGACGGTCAAGCATGGAAGAGAAGTAAAAAAAAAGAAGACTACTACATAATTTAGATAACAGTCACGTTAAAATTGATAAAATTTAGAAATGAATTCAGTCTGGAAAAGATCACAAAACATTTTGTCACGTGATAACGAGCTGTAAATTAGAGTGGTCTCCCTTGTTCGGGTTTGCTGAAGAAAAGAAGAAACTAACAAACATGACGGAGAAATTATGGAAACCTCTTGCGCCTTTTCTTGAATCTTATGGTAAAAAGTTTTTATTTTCACAATGAATTGAACAGTTTTAGTTAGCTTAAACCGAGCGTAATTTTGGTGTAGAAGCCAGTACAACAATTGAGGATTTGGTTTCTCAATGTGATAGCCCTATCCTCTTTTTTTTTTTTTTTTTTTTTTTTTTAATTAAAAAAAAAAAAAAACTTTAAGTCAATGACAAACTTTGTGTGATCATTTTTTTTTTTCTAAGGTATGTTATATTTATGAATTAGAAAGTGCTCAATATCAGAGCGTATGTAAAATCGGACCCTGAGGTCAACACCAAGTAGGGCCGGTTTTAAAATAAATGGAGAAGCCAGGAGTTAGACTTGGGTCGTCGGAACTACTGCTATGCTTTTTATGAATAACAAAAAAAAAAAAAAATTCCAATCAACTTTGAAGTGGAAAATTAAGTTCTGATTCAAAATTTAGTTTTAAACTAAGTCTTAGCTTCACAAACAACAAAAAAAAAAATGGAAAGGATTTTTTTTCTACATGAAACACCTTTTTAAAAATCTTTAATTTCCGTACGCAATTAAAGTTTGGGAAATATTTCTTTGATCACAGTTTGAATAGAAAAAAAAATGAGAAAAAAACTTAGTGCTCTAAAATAAAACGTAGGATACAAAATTTTAACTGTAATTACTTATGAAATGAAAGTTAGAAAGTTCTTCTCTTTGACTGTAAGGAAATGAACACGAATAGTCTTTCAGTGAGGAAGAAAGTGGAGTTTGGAGACAAGATCAATGGAAGTCCGCTGTTGCTTTGAAGAGAAAGACAAGATGCTGAGGTTGACTCTTGTCTCTTTATTGCTGTCAGTCCTTATGTCGAGTTGAATGAATGTTTGGTTTTTATGGTCTTGCGTAGGCTCAGAGGCCTGTGTTTATTTACTGGCGGGAACTGATTTTATTGGTTATTTATTTTAATTAAATTGAAAATTTGAAGTATGTTTGAAACTCCGGAAACCCTTGCACGGTGTGTTTTAATTTTATCATTTGCTTTGATGTCGTTCACTTCCGCATTTTAAAAACATTGGCACGTTCACTTGACACTCCTCGAACCACTAATTTGCTAAGTTTTTAAGTGTACTCCAATAATTCGCTAAAAATCAGTATAGCATAATGATAAAAGGCCTCATGCATAATAAAAACAAACTTTTATCGGTAAAATGTTTGTTATTTAAGAGGAAAGAACAAAGTATTTTTTTTTTTTTTTTTTTGTCAACTTTGTACTACTTGTGGTAAATAGCCATTTAGTGTGTAGTTTCCCTGTTTCCGGAGGAAAACCCATTAATTTGGAAATTCTTGCAAAAATCAAATAATTGTCTGATCTTAATGAAACTTTCAGGACTTACTAAAAAATGAATGAATTTATTTTTGAAATTTTTATTTTTAGAAAATCATGGTAAAAATATTTTTTGTTACACCCCACCTCCCCACCATAAATTTTATGAAATTTTCTAGAATTTCAAACGGTTTGCAAATTTTTTATATTACTTTAGCAGGACTCCTTGGCGAAATTAAATCAATTTTTTTTTCCACAGCTACTGCGAACTTTTTAAAAATCTAGTCCAAATCGTAAAATAAAAACAAAACTGCAATAATTCGATCTAATTATCGAATTAGATAGGCTTTTAAATTACATTAAGGACATTATCTGAAGAGAAAAAACTTTCGGTAAATAAAGAATTTTTACAAGAATTGCTTGCGTTTTTCTTTTAGTTTTTTTTTCATTTTTCTTTAATTTTAAAAAAATATTTTAAAATTCTTCCAGGGGTAGGTTAAGTTTTTAAGTGAAGACTATAATTACGAAGCGAAAATTAAAAGCTTAATACAAATCATGCTACCAAAACTTTTTACCACAAAGATTTTTTTTTTTTTTTTTTTTGTGCATCAAAATGTTATATTTTATCTCGTAAGTGAAGTGACATTATGGTTAAAAAAGGTCACGTGTTTCAAAGCTTGTCGCCTCCTTAGGGAAAAACCCTTTTTGTCATAGGTCTTCGGCTTAAATTAAATTGAGATAAAATAAAAATGATCTTGTTCTTGTTTATCAATTTAAACAATGAGTGAGATATTTTAATTATTAATATAATAATTTTAAGTTATTATCTCGGTTATTAAATTAAAAATATGAACTTAATGTAAATGTTATTAATTAATATTATAGAGGTTGAATAATGTAAGCAATTTTATAGTATTTTATTTTTAAATTATAATAAGAAACAAAAAAAATCGTTATGCCAATTTTGGTGCCATGTACTTAACCTGTCAACACATTCAGCCATCAAATTATCGATGGAGACATGAAAATTATTTTCATGTCTCCATCGATAATACACCAAGGTCAAGAAAATGTTTGTCTAGAAAATTTTATGCTATAGCTAAAAAGTGAGTGATTTGTTTCAGAACAGATTAATTATTAATTTAACTTTAAATTTGCTAATTTTCAGAAAGTAACGTTTCAGAAATGTATGTCTTACTCTTATTTTAGTGGGATTTTCAAAAAAGAAAAAACAAGTTTTGTCTAAACTTCTCTAAAAAAAAAAAAAAAAAGAATGGCTGTTTCGATTGTTTTTTTTGGGGGGGGGAGCATCAACTAAGTCATTCAAATTTCTATTTGAAATACTCCACAGTATTTTTTTTTTTTTTCCTGGAATTAGAAAATATAATCCTTTAGCTTTCATCACAGATAATTTGATCCCTTTGACAGTAATTTTCTTTTAGTTTCAGATTAACCATGCAATATCCAATTGAAGCTGGGGGGGGGGGTAAAAAAAAGGATGTTTTTTTCTTTATGAAAAATATATTTATATCTTGGGTATACGAATTTTTGGAGGCACCTATTGTAGTGAAAATAAAGCCCGAATAAACTGAGATAAGCTTTATTCCATTTTATCAATGTGTGGAAGAAAATCAACTTATCTCTACAGTTGACTGTTCCATTCTCAACAGGGAAATGGCAGAATTAGCAATGTCCCTTATTTAAGGAATTTGGAACTGGTATAGCCAACTGCAAGCCTTGAATTCCATGTAGGGCTTATCCTCTGGCTTGATAGGTACTTCATGGTAGGCACTTCTGAAGTCTAAAGAACTGAAAATGTGGTATTTAGAAATGTTTATCAATACAAGGCAGCGGGTAGACATCAAGTAATGTGTATCTATTGATAGTCTAGGAATCTGACCATCCATTTCTTGCAACTTTCAGTGGCTATTACAAGGACCTGGACTCACCATAGAGATTCATTCACTTGGCTCTACAATTCCTTCTTTAAACCATCTTGTTACTTCTGCTGCAATGAATTTTTTTATCCTCTTGGGAATAGCGTCTTGATTTTACTGCAACTGGTTAGCAGTAAAGGGCCAAATTTATAAAAAGTGACGGGTACCGCACATTGGCAGCTGCCAGTCCGCATACATTTAGGTCCCCTTTAGGCCCACCAAGAGGGATTTCAACACAGGAATGTTGCCTTAGGAAATTGTGACCTAAAATAACCTCACAGCAGAGGTTTTTCATCACAGATAATTTGATCCCTTGATAGGAATTTCCTTTTAGTTTCAGATTAACCATGCAATATCCACTTACATGGGGAAAACAAAGTGGAATTTGCCATCACTACTTGATTGGAACAAGGAAAAATTTTCCATTTGTTTGCTTTCACAATACTGGCATTAAACTTTCAGAACTACCTGTAACACTAAGGGCATGGACATTTTATTTTGATGTTCACAACTTGTGGCATTTAATGTCTCAAACCAAACAGGAAGAACAGGAATGTTTACAGAAACAACAATAGTAGCATTTGGGTCCACCTGAGGTGGCAGTAATAAGTTGTTCATGGTTGTTCAAAGGAAGTGTAGGAGTATCTTGAACAATGGAAGAATTTTGAACTTTAAAAGGAGGGGCAGAATCTTGAGAATTTGAAGAGAAAGTCAAAGCAGGAGAGTTTTGGAAATGAGGGGGGGGGGGGGCAGAAATAGCAGCAACCAAAACCTCAGGTTGTGAATAAAAGACAGCCTGCTTCTGTGCCATGTCTAACATTAGGGCTTGTTTATAAGCTGTTTGACAGGTCTTTATTCTCTAGTAGTCTTTGTCTTATTTGGTTCGACTTTATTCCATTGATGAATGAGTTCCTGATAAAATCATCTCTTGCTTGGTTTGCAGTTAAGGCTATAAATTTGCATTCGTGACTTAGTCTTTAGTATCTGAAGGAACTGCTCAAGGCTTTCTCCAGGCTGTTGACGCCTGGTAGCAAATAAGTGTCTAGCAAAAATGGTATTCTTTTTCTTGACATACATGCTCTCCAAAATGCCTATATCAAGTTTTGTAATTATCACACTGAGATAAATCTATAAATTTGAGTAGAAACATGGTGTAGTAAGAAAGTGAATTTTTCAGTATCTGTCAAAGCCGTGTTTAGAGACAACTGGAGTGCTGTCAGTAATCCTTCAAACATTTGCCTCCAATGTTGCCATTTGTCAGTAGAATCTGGGTTGAATGTGTTGAGATCCAGGTGGTCTGGTTTCAGATAACTTTTCCATTGATAAAGTGGAATAAATTGTAGTGAAAATAGGAAGCCTGAATAAAATTAAAGATAAGCTTTATTCCACTTTATTAATACAAGTAGAAAAAAAATCAACTGCTTATATCTACAGTTGACTGTTCCATTGTCAACAGGAGTGGAAGAGAGATCTCAATTACTTCTGAATACTACACATACCATGATGAAAAAAAATGCCTTATACTTAATAAAAACAGCTTTTATCATCAACATCTTTATTAAGATGAAAGACCAATTTTTGATTATTAAATTCATTTTTTTTTTTTTTTTTTTTTTTTTTACATTTAGAATATTTTTGTTCAGTTTTTAAAAGAAAAAAGATTTTTGTTTTACTTTTGAATTTACTTTTAATTTTCTTACATATTTCATGCCATAAATATTGCATCAAATGTGATTTTTCTTTTTTCTTTTTGTTGTTGTTGTTAACAAAAAA